TCGCTGTTGTGGCCCTGTCTGTAGCTTGACTCTGCTTTGCCTTGCTTTGCTTTACTTTATTTTATTTTACTTTTTACGCCTTTTACATTTTTGCCCCATTCATTTGCATGTTTGCCAGCAAACGCTTTGCGCTGTCTGCGTCTGCATCAAAAGGGTTGACTCGACTTTGCTCTCTTTCGCTCGTCTCTCCCGCTGACGGAAACGGAAGCGGCGTCAGCAACGAGACTTTGTCGCTGGCATTTCTTTTCATGCCGTTTTCTTTTTCCTTTTTGTACATTGATATTGAAAATTTTGCTTATTTTTGAATGTTGAATTGCCAAAAATTGTTGTGTTTCGCCTGCATCGCTTGCCAAAAGCCCAGTTGTCCATGGCTAAACAGGCATGTGCAACAAAAGTGCTCGTACAATAACTAGAGACAGACAGAGTATCAGCTGTTTCTACTGCCAAATGGCATGCCCTGAAAACTTTTCTACAAACAAATGACTATCTAGAACAGACGAAACTCATTCTTACAGCTGATTCCTAGCAATTACTACATATATGAACTATCACGTGCTTGTAATGCCAATTGGCATGTCATATATATAAATATATATATATATATTTATTTTATTTATATATTTATAGCCCTCTGGTTTCTATGAGGACTTTGAACTACGTACCATGTGAAATATCAGCAGTTGATAATGCACTGCAAATTCCACTACTATTTTCAGGCAATTTCATCTTTTTAGACACTTTTCAGTTTGCCGTGTACAACTGGGTGGCCTGAATGGCCGTTTATGGCAAATTGAAAATCTATAAACGAATATTTGCGCTGTTTATTCACATAGTCATATAAAAATTCGTGAATGTGAACAATTTGTGCAACGCTGTCTGCGTCTGCGGCTGTCTGGCGCACTTGACTGACGTCAGTTGTCAGAAAATTCTATTTTATTTTCTGTTCAATGTTTATCAGACGTCGGACCATAGATACGACTGCGGCTAGGAATACGTATACGTGACGCTGTACAGCTGCTCGACCTCTCTATCTCTATCCCTATCTCTCCCTCTCTCTCTATCTCTTGTCTATGGCTAGATAGATTTGATTCTAGCTACAATTTAATTGGCAGTGGTTACAAAGTCTTTCGAATTGCATCACATTTCAGCAATTTGGAATGAATAGATCAAGCCATAACAAAAATCTCACACACTACAATTTCTTCAAGTTCAATGTCATCTACGTATTATGCTGGTATATCTACATATATTCGCATTATCATACTAAAGCGGCGATTTGAGTTGAGTTGAGTTGAGTCAAGTTGAGTTGATTTGAGTTCAGTTTACTTTAGTTGCAGGTCCGACATTTCGCCTCATTCAGTTAGACCTTGACATCAATTAAGATGTCAATGCTCCTACTGACCAAATATTCAAAGCATATATACATAACATATAAATATATATATATATGTATATATGTATACATATATGAATGCACTTGACTGTCATTAGCGCTGCTATCATAATCATTAAATTAATAACTTGAAGAATTCAACGAGAATTCAGCCGAGCTCAAAAGCTACAGATATACATATATATATATATATATATATATATATATATATATATATATATATATATATATATATATATATATATATATATTTATATATAGTATATAGTATAGTATAGCACAGCAGATAAACCCACCTCGAGGCACCTCCTTTCACTTAATCAATTGAATTGTCAGCCTCCAAATTGCCCGATTACCATTTGGACAGTCCATTCATTGTGTACTTCTACACTAGACAGCGGGGTATATTAGTTCAGTTAAAATATGTGCTGCAGAGAGGAGCTATGACTAGTCTAGCTATGATAATATTGACAATGATAATGATAATAATAATCATGATAATGCTAACTATATTGATAATGTTAATGAGCAATGATAATAATATTGATCATATATCATAGATCATAATCATATTGATGATAATTACATAATTAGTTCATCATAATCATGTAGATTTTGTTTAGGCCATCTGCCAGTTGTGCACTCCCCACCTGTTCGTCTTTTGTTTAGCTGTCTCTGTTGCAGTTCAAGGAACCTGCCGTCAAGTTTTCGGACATTTGCCGCCCCATTGCCCCAGCCTGTGCCTCACTTAAGTCATTTAGTTATGTGGTTTTATTTTTGCATTGGCGTTGCAAACAAGTTTACACGCTGCCCACCAGAGCAAGCAGCGAGTGTGTGTGCCCACGAGGAGATCAGCGCGTCAACTAAAAATAGCCACAAAATCCATTTAAGTCTCTCACACAGCAAATCGAAGGCAGACCACAAGCTGACTGCCTAGCTGCCTAGCTGCCTGGCTGCCTGCTAAGTCCGTAAGCTAAACAGCTGTCCACATATTGAACAAATATCAATTTTAAGACTCATAATGACATTAGCTTAATATGTCACATTAATTTATTGCGTGTTCGATTCGGAATGTGGTACAGTTGATTCCTGGAAAAAACATTTATTTCTCTGCCAATAAATTTGATGGCAATTTATGCGTAATGCATTGAAGACACTTTAGCGTGAGTGGATAGTTAGTTAGATATATGTAGACAGATAAATATTGAATAGCTTATATATATGTCTCTTAGTGAAAACTCCCTTTTGAGACTAGCTTATATATATGTCTCTTAGTGAAAACTCCCTTTTGAGACTTAACAAAAATGATTAAACTTTTTTGTATTTCTAGATCTTCACTCTATATAACACTGATTCACAACACTGAAAAACTCATCGTACAGAAATATAATAAAAATTATTAAGTTTGCTCATTTGCTTTATAAATTTCTGCATTTAATTCTATAGAACACTAAATTGTCTTTGGTTTTACAACACTGAAACATGATTGGACTGCTACTACAATCTAGTTGATCTAATTAGCCACATTATGGCACAGAATTTCTAACACGCACCATCGCTGAATGGCGCAATCTAGTTGCCTCAACCATGTGAGCCGCTTCTACAGGGCATTTGTATGCACGTGTCTCTGAGTACTTTTTTTTTAGATATGACTGTGTCGCAGACGCGCTCAATCAGTCAACTGCGATAAAAATTACAGCAACAATGCAATTAAAAAAAAGGGGAACAGGTAAAATACAAAAAAAAAAAAAGAAAAATGAACAAAAACTGAGCGTTGAGCCGGTTGAGTCACCTGTTCGCCGTCGCAGTCGCCGTCGCGGCCAGCGTCGACAGCAACATCGGCTGGGAATGCGCAAAAGTCTAAAGTGCCACTTGTTGTTGCTGTTGTTGTAGTGTTGTAAAGTTGCAGCCAGACAGGCAAGCATAAACACACACGCGCACACACACCAGCTCACATACAGACACACACACACACACGCGCGCGCTGACTTTGTTGACAAGTCGTTGTACATTTTAATTTTAGTTGATTAACTTCATTTCTTTTTTTGCAATTTTGTCTTTTTTTTTTCGTCTGGCATTTTGGTATTTGATATAATCGCATACATTTTCGCTGTTTCAATTTGTGTTTCATTTTTTCCATTGTTTTTTTTTTGGCCATTTGTGACCTGCACGCTCACCTGACTGCCGACTGATCCCAGACAGACAAAACTTCCATTATCTTCGCCCGTAAAGTTGCCCTCCGCCTCTCCAGACATTGTCGCTGCGTCATTTGTGTACTTGGCCCCGCTTGATTGTAACTGTACATCAAACAAATGTGCGACAGACTTCAAAATATTTACTGTGTCTCAAGGCCTGGTATGCTGATCAGGCAAAAATTCAAGCAAAGCTAAGATAAATTTTGTTTTTTTTTTTTTCAATTGATAAAAGTAAGAAAAAAATGCATTTATATATATAATACATAAATATAAATGTTTAGTATTTTTTAAATACTAAAAGTGCAGTTGTTCCAGCTTTTCTAGTTTCTTTAAGATAAAAGTTGCAGCTAATAACAAATTTTGAAGCAGAATCAATTCAGAGTTATTCACAAGAATGGACATGAGTATAATTTTACTTTATTAAATTAGTCATAAATTAGTCTTAAAAACTGGCAAAAAATTAGAAATAATTTTATAAAAATTTCTCCTAAATAACAAGAAAACTTTTTTTAATAAGTGTTACCATAATTGATTGTTTTTTAATATAAAAAATTACATATTTGTCTTTTTCGACTGTAAAATATTGTATTACGCAAACAATTGGGCATAGAACATGTCTAGCGATATGAACGGCCTCTCTTTCCGTCTGCACAGCTACATATACACATAGATATGTGTGTGTGTGTGTGTGCGCGTCTATCACGGCTAAATAGCCAGCATAACTATAACATTTCTGCCTATGGGGCTGACTGGTTAGTTGGTACGCTTTGTTTATCGGTCTCTAGCCGCCCGCCCACACACACACACACACACACACGGAGGCACATTCACATGCGAGTAGCTACGAATGCCAGACGCTTGCGCATGTGTTGCTCGATATCGCTTAAGTCGTCTGCTATCTAGTCTAGACGCTTACGCATTTATATACATAAATACATACATTTATATATATTTATATATATATATTATATATATATATATATATTTATCTAAAGTTATGTATGCATGTTTACATTGAACGCATTGCGTTCGCCTCGTTGCTCGCTTTCATTGTTTCACAGCATTTCTTGAGTATTTTTGCAGTATTTTTAGCATTGTGTGTTTTTTTTTAATTTGTGGGAACTTTAGTTTTAAAAACATTTGGTAACGGTCTGTTTGTTTATATTTTGCAAGAGTGTTTGCTGTGGGGGCGTATATTTTTATTTAGCAATTCAGATTTTTGTTTTTGAGTTCTTAAGTTAGTCTTGTTTTTGTTTTTTTTTGCTGGGCAATCGGATGCCCACTTTAAACTTTGTATATTCTTAAGCGAAGGGGAAACAAATGCAAAAAGAAACTATATTTTCAGCTTCAATCAATGTTGTATACATTTAAAATCTCTTGACTTACCTTTGCCTTTTGTTTTGCTGTTTTAGGCCACGTTTTGCTGATCGCCATTGGTGTCGCCGTGTGTTTAGTGTGTGGCAGCGTGCTGGTCACTGTGATTACACTGCGACGCAGCCACAACACGACAGCAGCAGCATCAACAACAGCAACAGCAATAACAACGCGACGCGCAAGACATAAGCCACGGCGCAGCAGCTGCAACAAGGATTGCGAACCTGGCAGCAACTATTATAAAGGTGCGACGGGCAACGAGACTGCCTTTGCTCTGGCCCTACCACTGACAAGGACAGCAGCAGCAGCAGCAGCGGCAGCAGCAGCAGCACAAGCGGATACAGCAACAACCACAGCAACATCAACACCCGCAGCGGCAACATCACTAGCAACAACAACAACAACAGAAGCAACAGCAGCAGCAGCAGCAGCAGCAACACTTTTGTCAACCAAGCCGGAACATTCTGTACCCGTAAGTAGAATCAACCATATTCTAATAAGACAGAGCCAGAAGCAAATGGGGGTCTGTGGCATGCAACACAAATCGTGAAATGGGGCAAGAGACGTCGACGACACGTGTCAAAAAGTTTTGCTTGGTTTCGCTTTGCCTCGTTCATCCTTCTGCATTGGCTTTTCGTACAAAGCGAATGAAAAAAGAAGAAGGAAACCAAAAACCCGCAGCACAGACAGTCGACCAACGGCAATGCTTAGTGGTTGGTGGGTAGGCTGGGTGGTTGGGTGGCTGGCAAAGTCCTTGAAGCAACAGCTCCACTCGTCGTGGAGTCGTGCGTCGTGGTTATATAACAAAAACAGTCGGAAATTTGGTTTTGCCTGCTGCTTTTTGCCTTTTACATTATTTTCTATACCCTGTAGAGAGAAAAAATGGTATAAAGGGTAGACTGGTTATGCGAATGCCAACCACATAAGGTCAAATGCTGTCAAAGATAGAGTTGGTTAATAGTTCAAGCCTTTGGCTCAATGTGACTATCTTTCCTATCGCCTTTCTATGTGATTTTCATAAATTTACCTTTAGCTCATAGATACAACTTATATTAAGAAACGGAATACAGGGTATATTGCTGTTATACACCCCTTGCCAACGCCCTCCGCGTACTTGTTAGCCATGTTATGCAATGTGGGAGACAACAACATGGAGCGTGCCCCGTGTCTGGCCCATTATTGTGAAAAGTATCTGCCGGATGCAAGGCACGTCTGCAGGGTAGTCTTATACACACACACTCACACACTCATATATATTTCTTTGTAGCTTCAATTTTTGATCATTGGCCAAATTCGTTTCGTCATTTGCATTATGAGAGAAAATTGATTTTATTATTTATGTTTAATATTGAATCTGAAAGAACGAAAACTGCACCTACTTGAGCTAAAGAGCTTAACCGAGCTGACAGCTAGGCCAGATTTAACTTAAAGTCTCTTTTTTAGACTTTACATATGGTTAAGCCTTGACAACAGCCGCCCGCACAATCTGTACTGCATCGTTGCGGCAAAGACCAAAGCACTGCCGATGGCTAAGCCGCAAAGCAGAGGCACTACAATTAAGAAAAATTGCACTCACGTGTACCTGACTAAATAATACTCTGTAAAAAGTTAGCAAAATTGACATATGAATGACTTAAGATGGGAAAGTGCTTGCAAGTGACTTTCAAACGATAAAACCGATTCCTTAATGGCAGACCGAGTGAAAGAGCTAGTCGAGCTAAGTACCTGAAGCTTTCTAATTAGCGAGTGCCCACTGTATACTCTTCTTTTTGCAAATTTTTATACAGAGTAAAAACAAAGACGAAGACTTTTTGACAAATTGTTGCTCGCTGCGCTGACAACTCGAAACATGCTTCATTATTTATTACAGGCCCACATACATAGTGCATATGTATGCTAGTGCGTGTGTGTCACTGACAAACAGCATGGGAAAGCACTTACACACACACATACATGCATATGCCCTATTGTGAATTTTGCTTTGTTTTAGCAGCGCCTTCAACACAATTTCTGCCTATCTGCTAAGCATCGCATACACATACGCACACATACATAATGTAGTAGGTATGTGTGCATGCGTGACTTGGCATTTAGAACAGAGCTAGAGCGAGAAGGAGATGGAGATAGAAAGCGTTGCGTGGGCGTCGTAACTGGCGCTGCTGCCGGCGCTGCCAACGCAATAAGAAGCACAACAATTGCCGCTAATAACCCAAGGCGTCGACGCCACGTTTTAATCGAATTTTATTTCGCCGCCGTTAGCCAATGAATAATTCAATTTGATTATTAAATATGTGCGTCTCAGACAGACGACGCGGCACGCGGAGTAGATTTCATTATTACCGTTATATGTTGCACGCACACACGCACACAAATAATAAGCTTTTAAAACACTTTTCTCCAGTTTTCCCTAAAGCATTGTGTTTTCGGCAGCTATTATTATGTTGTACCGTTTGATCGTTTGGCATAAAGAACCAGTGGAAATAATGGAACCTGCTTTGGTTTGCAGTTCTCGTATGTCATTGCAAGCAAAACAATGGCTGTCTACGGCAGCCATTATGAGGATTCGCCATTTGCCCAAAGAACAAGTGGAACTAGCAGCTCATTACGAACTAGACAATGTAAGACAGTTCTCATGCACACATATGTATGTATGCAAATACATTCATGCGTATGCATGTAAAAACAGCTCGCAAATTTGCCCGCATATTTCTGCTTAATTTAAATGGCAACAAAGATTGCGAGTGAAAAATAAAAACGAAATTATTTGCTAGATTTGTCATTTGTCACGCTCACTTGAACACATCAATCGGCAGGTGTGGGCGGGGCTAGGCGGTAGCAGACCCACAAAATAATGTGGGACATACAGAATTGTGTCAACGGCAACGAAACGTTCAATACATGCAATCTTCATAAATATACAAGTACACACACACTAGCACGCAAGAGCACAACACATGCACATACACGTTTGATCAGTACCGTTACTCGGACACATTTTTATTTTACATGAGCATTGACTTTTCATTTGACTTTTGCGAGCGAAATGCGTGGTTCTGGCACGTGCCATATAGATATAAATGCACTACAAACACTGTAAAAAACTATGTAATATTTAACTACAAACAACAAACTTTGTTCATTTCGCAAGAGTCGTTGCTACCTCGATACTTCCAAACAAAATCAGTTCGATTGTCGATTTTTAAAACCAATAAGATCATTGGCGTTGCCACCACGTCTGGCAATGATGTCGCGAGCATACCAAAGGGGTTCTCCACCTTACTAAAATGTACCTTGTACCTTTGTATTAAACTTTTGACCAATTGGCATTCTTACTTTAATCGATATTTGGCGCCAGGGTTGCATTTCATAATTTTGCCTCGCATTTTGCCTCTTTTAAGCAATTTATGTATTTGGGTTTGCCATAAACATGTCTGCATATATTAACAAGACCGCAACATGTGGCAGCGGTGCCGGTCGTTGCAAGCAAAAACCCATTTCACTGAGCGCCTTTCATGAACAGCTCGAGAAGGCGGAGAACGAAATGAGTGTAAACAAGGCCAAATCTGCTCCAGCGGCATCTTTACCAACAGTTCGAGCTTTAACTTCAAGTCCAACTTCAAAAACCAATAAACAAGTGAACACGCTCCACACTAAAGCACATGACATTCCAATTGGCAATGGCTCAACCATGCCTGAAGCTGTAGTCTCAGATAGTCTTCGCGGCGGTCGTCGTGGACGTCGACATTGTTCCCATCGCGGTCGCTCCTGTCCACGCCTGCTCACGCCCACACGCGAGGTGCCCCACGAGCTGCAAAAGGTGGATCGCATGACATCCTCGGATTTCCGCCATGATTTCGCCGCACATTTGGAGAATATGCGCACGCGGCAGAAGGATCAGGAACACATGCGTTTCTTTCAATTGGCAATGCAGGAGAATCGTCATCTGTTTGCTGGAAAAACTGTACTAATCCTCGCCTGCGGCACAGGCACTTTGGCTTTGATGGCCGTACGTGCGGGTGCCAAAATGGTCTTTGCTCTGGACCACTCCCAGGTGACGGATTATGCACGGCTCGTTGTACAAGCAAATAAGATGGAGCACGTTGTAAAGGTGCTTCATGGCAGAGTGGAAGATGTGAAGCTGCCCCAACGCGTGGATGGCATTGTTTGCAACTGGATGGGTCAGTGTCTGCTATACGAATCAGAGCTACTGGAGCTAATCCAAGCACGCGATCGTTGGCTTAAGCCTGAAGGCTTCATTCTGCCCGATCTGGGTGCACTTTATCTGCTAGCTGGAGCAGAGCACCTGCTGAAGAACGAGCGCTGCGATTGGTGGCTGGATGTCTATGGCTTCAATATGAACGCCCTGCGACGCTACGCACTGGCCGAGCCACGATTTGCCAGGACAACGGGCGAGCGTGTGCTCACATCGGCTGAGCAAGTTTTGTGCCTGGATTTGCGTACAGCCTCTCGAGAAGATTTGCATATCGATCGGAAGATTCAGTTGACAGTGCACCAGGACGGCTATTGCGAGTGTTTCGTGCTCTACTTCGATGTGTCCTTCAGTCGCGCTCATCTGCCGCTCCAGCTGAGCTGCAATCCCTGTTTGAATACATCTCTCAAGTCGCTGTGGTACCAGACGCTACTCTTCGTGGAGCAGCCGTTCATCATGCGCACCAAGTCTATATATACGGGTCGCCTGATCTTTCGACCTTGGCCCAGCTTTCAGCGCATGAAAATCCACGTTGAGCTGACTGCGGGCTCAGCGGATGGCATTCAATGGAGTCCGCTGGTGCACAAGAGTTGGCTGCTAACGTCGCGCTTTCAGACTGTCGCGGAGGTGGCTCAATGCCAGGACTTGCTTAACTAAAGTTCGATTAGATTTGTGCATTTTATTAGACAAAGTTGATTGAACTGTTTTTGTTTTCTCTCTTTCGTTGCAGATGCTATCGGTACAGTCGGCCGGCTGCGCGGGAATGGAGCGGCTTGGCGTTCCAACCCGCACATCATTGAGCACACCACCCGATGATAGGTGAGCGCAGTATGCAATATGATTGACTGATTGACTGATGGATTGAAATGACTGGCTATTGTAATAAGCCTCGATGATAGGAAGTTGAGTGTTTAGAGATTCTGGTGGGAGTACGAAATAAAGCGATGGGTACTGATTGATTGATTGATTGACTGACTGATTTTGTTGCCACAGTATGCAACTATAATAAACTAGGCACTAAGCTATCTAGTGCTTCATTTAGATGACTAAAGAGCTGGCTGACTAAAGGGCAGAGTGATTGATTGATGAACTGACTAAAGCAAAAATGAAGGCAAGGAAATTGTAAATCTTGCAGATGCTTAGTACTTCTGTTATACTTCAAGTCAGTATAACAGTTTGTAGTGCTTGATTGATTGAAGAAATCAGAGACTGACTGATGATCTAAGCATAATTCAAAGTCTTAGGCTTGATTGACTGACTGTTGCATAACTCAGAGAGAGAGAGAGGCTTGATTGACTGACTGATGATCTAGGCAAAACTGGGAACGAATGAGCCAATGGGCCAATAGGTAATTGTTTAGAGTAGTCAAATTGTAAAGTTGCCTTTAGAAACTGACTGATTGATCGAGTTATTGACGGCACTGCTGATCAGTTATCAATAAAAATACTCAAAGTTTACTCCTTGCTTAACAGGGATCAATTTAGATGTAGAATGCGCGTTGATGCGCTCCAAGCACGTGAGCTGCTGGCCGTGCGTGGCGAGACTGTGATTCGTAACAACAGCAGCAACATAGGCAGCAGTAGCAGCAGCGGCGGCGGCAGCGGCAGCAGCAGCGGCAGCAACAATCAGCAACAGCAACAACTTCACAACAATAAGCAACAACATTCCCACCATCAGCAGCAATTGCAACAACAGAAGCAGCAGCAGCATCAACAACATTATCAGCAACATGGCAGCAGCAGCAGCAACAACAACAACACGCATAGTATTAACCATTTTCTGGCACGCGGCGGCATTGAAGCAACAACCTTAAAATATGGCAGCAGTGGCAGTGGCAGCGGCAGCGGCAGCGGCAGCAGCTATAAAAGCGAACAAAGCAACGCCTCGACATGCAGCTCGCTGAATAGCCACAGCGCCGATCATCATCAACATTACCAATATCAGCTGCAGCAACAGCAGACGCCGCGCTGCCCGCATCATGTACCACTGCCGGACAGCGAGTACGGACAGGATCGTCATCTGCAAATACGCAGCAGCTATCAGGTGAGACGCACACTGTCCCTAGACAGTCTAGAAGCCCAACTCATTGTCTGTTTGCTTTTGCTTTTTAGCAATCGGAAATTACGCGCTCGTATACAAAGCCGCCGCCCAATAAAACTGTACGCGATGTGCCTGAACATATATGCGCTGCCAGCTCCAGCTATCGCCTGGCCACTAGTGCGGCAGCAGCAGCAGCAGCAGCGGGCGCAACACCAACTGGCCATAGCTGCAACAGCTCCAGCGCGACAGCGTCTAGCGCTTACGCTTTAGCGGCAGCAGCCAACGCAGCCACCAAATCCAAGCCGAATGCCATCACAAAATTCTTCTCACGCATCAGTTCGCCGAAGTCGCCGACATCGCTGGCGACAAGTTCGAGTGGTGCTATTGGCTCGGTGACAGCTAGTGCCACGCCCTTAGCTGCAACTGGCTGCTCCTCATTAGCCTCGTCAGCGTCCATGTCTTCGTCCGCCTCCTCGTTGGCCTCATCAGCGGGCATGCCCGCCTGTGTCTCACCCTCCTCATCGGCGTCATCGCTGGCAGCGGCGCCATTGACAGCGCTGCCCACGCTAAAGAGCACCGCCTGCAGCACTGGCGGTGCGACATTTAGCATGGCTCAGGATCAGGCAGCGCAGCAGCAGCCGGATGAGACGACGCAATAATTCCAACCCTTAGCTTTTGATGGAGCCGTAGCAGATTGTTAAGAGGGAGAGAGAGATCTGTCCAACAACTTCGCGCTGGCACGAAAAGACTGTTTATTAGTCAGAATTTAATTTGTAAACGATGAGAGGAGATAAACACACAAACACACAAACACACAAACACACACACACAAACACACACACACACTCACACACCCATGCAGAGGGACAGACACAGTTTAGTTTTGTACTCATTTCCATTGTCGCATGCTAAAAATATTTATACATAAACAAATTGAGACAGTTAATGCATATATATACATATGTGTGTATGTATAGGAACATTACGGTACATATTGTATTTTGTTAGTTTGAATATATATATATATATGTGTATATATATAACTATATAGTTTTTAACAAACACATCAAAAAAAACAAATTCTAACTAAAACTCTAGCCCCACCACCACCACCCAAAATGAATCAATCAATCAATCATATGTATATATATATCTATATATATATTATATATATATTGTATTTGTTTGATGGCCCCTTGTGCTGGAACACAATTCAAATTTTTAGTTCAATTCAAAATGCATAAATTAATTGAATTTGTAAATATTTAAAATGAAAATTGCAGAAAAATCGTAGTAGAAATTTGAATTCTGTTTAAACAACTTTGAATATTAAACGTATTATGTGTTCAAGCAACGATTTCTTAAAAATTATATATATATATATACCTTATATATATATATATTGCAGACTTTGGGGTTTGTTTTCTTGGTCCGTCATCAAGTGCAGGTGTAAATTTTTTTCTTCTATTTAGTTTAGCCAAATAGCGCAAATAAAAATTGATAATAAATAATAGACATACATAAGTTAATATCTAAATAATTATAATAATATATATCTAATATATATATCAATATATATATGTTTGTACACAGCAATGTAAATCTTAAGCACAAATCTCAACAACAAAAAAATTGCAAAAAAAAACAAAAAATTGCAGAAAATATAAAAGACCGTTTGAAAAGCAACAAAAAAACATGCTATAAAAATTTTAATTTTTTTAAATATATAATATTAGAATTTGGCGTCGTTACTTAAAAAAAAAAAAACAGAAAAAACAACAAAATAAAAAATTATATTATTCCAAGATAAATATAATTATAACAGAAAAAAGTCAGCTGCAAGCTGCTATAAAAATGATTCATGTAATGTATATAGTAGGATATATCTATATATGTATAACTATATATTTTTTTGCCTTTGGTCCTAGACGAACAAACTGTGTGCATGTGTATAGGTCGACAGAGAGAGAGGGAGAGAGGGTGAGCAAGAGCGAGAGGGGAAGGTAGTGGCAGAAAGCGAGGAAGTTAGAGTTCTTAATGTATTACCCAAATAAAATATTTAAACTTAACTAGATGCAGTAGCAGCAATTCCAATCAAAGCACTCAAAAGCCAGTGGCATTATCTATCTAGCATATGTATATACATATTTATATATTGATATACAAATGCAATATATATAAAAGATAAATTAGTTTGGAGCCCGATTAACTCGTATATAAATATATTTATTGAATGGTTTCAATACTTACGATCCATTAAAGCATACAAAATCTAGATAAAAAGCCAGCCCATAGATAATTATGATACATCTATATATATATATATATAGATACGATACTAACTAAGCAGTTAAGCAAAGTCCTACGAGCCATTTAAGTAGCACTCGATGCCATTGACTGATATTTTATATACTGTATATAAATCTATAATATTTAGCAGGGTAGAATTCAATTTAATTAACTTAAGCGAATCAAAAGAAAACTCTTTCAAAAACACGAAGAAGAAGAAACACAATAATCCCCCCAAGAAAAGAAAACAGTTGAAATTCGATTGAAAATAAAAGAAAAAGTTAAAGAGTAGCCGAAACAATTCGAAGTTCAACTAAATCCTAGCGAAATTTTTAAAATGGGCATTAAAAACACAAGTAAAACGATGCAAAACCAAACGAGAAGAAGAACAAGATGAAAATGCATACATAGCATATAAAAAGTGAAATACATAATACTATATTAAAATTATTACTCATTATTGTTGTTGTCTCATGAATATAACATTGAAATCTAACAAAAAAAACAAGATTTGTATCTCAACAGCGGGTGGCACAGTTCAGGGCACTTGGCTGGAAATACGTAAGAAATCAACTTTATGGCAAATTTAGATAAATAAGCCAAGCAGTGGCTGCCATAAAACAGGCAAGTGAGCGGAGTAGTAGCAAGCAGGGCAATTAAATATTTAGATAGCATACAATCATCGGGTATAAAGTACAAAAATATAAACAAGCAGTGCTATCTCAACAGTGGGTGAAACACTTATGCAATAAATTTTTTGGCAAATTTAGATAAATAAGCCAAGCCGTGTTTGTCATAAAAACAAACCAAGCAAGGGAAACATATGTAGTTTCATGCAGTGTAGTTAAAAATTTATGGAGCACATAAACAAGCAGGTTTAACTTGAAATTTACCAGAAAACATTTAATAATTCATGTTCAGTACACAGCACACTCAGTAGTAAAGCAGTTCAAATAGCTTCAGCAGAATACTAACACGCCATAAAAAATAAAGCAGTACTAGCTTCGACGCACACTGCTTGTTATATGTAAGCAGTAACAAATACTTTGCATATCTCCTTTAGCAGTGCAAACAAGCAGTAGCCCGCAATATTTGAAATTTTCGCACAGATAAGATAAGCTAGTATTAAAAGCAAACAATTGTTTTTAATCTTTCCGTTTTTCAATTGTGCACAAACAATGTTTAATCAGTCTTTAACTCCATCTAGCCTACTTGGAAATTTGAACTAGCTACAGCACTATCTGACAATCACATCGGGACTGATAAACAAATTTAGTTGTTATTATTTCCGCTTGCTTTAAGAATTCTTGCCAACTCATAGGGCACTCAATATTGCTTAAGTTTATCGACACGCCAAATTGGTATTAGACTTGGCCGACATGAAAAACTCACGTATTTCTTATCGATTAAGTTTCCCCCTCTATAACCACTAATAAATACACAAATATAATTAAAACACTTCGTCATTCGCGTGGTTGTAGTTCGAGGAACAGCAACGTGGAATAGCTGCCTCCGCCTACAGACCCATTTGGCAATTAGAAACTCGAAAAAGACAACGATTCTTATCTCCGCCGACAGATAGCACTTCAAATTGACAACAAATGACACAGATCTATCAGAAATCGGAGGTCGCGGAACGCAATGGCAAGAACGGGCAGCCCGTTTGGCTCATCTACAAGGGCAACGTCTATGATGTAACAACATTTGTGAAGAAGCATCCAGGTGGCGACGATCTAATACTCGAGGTAGCGGGCAAGGATGCAACCAAGGCGTTCAACAAGGCGGGACACTCACCGGATGCGGTGCAGCAGCTCCGAGAGTACAAAATTGGCGAGGTGGCCATCGATGAGCAGCCCAAGCCGCTAACAGCGGTCCAATCTGCAGACGTCCAACAGGAGAAGCAGCCGCAGCAGCCGCCAAAGCAGGCGGAAAAGTCCTCGAATAGTTTCTGCTGTTGCTGAGCTCGAAACACAGTTGCCGTTAAGTGTATTTGCTTTTTTAATTATTAACATAGTTCAGGTCGTTTTAGTGTATTATTACCGTAGTTAACTAGAGCTCAACCAGTCATTAACTAATATAAGATCAACTCTATATTTTGCGTAGCGCAAATGTAAATAAACTTTCCATTAAGGTTGCCTTTTCTATCCGTTCCTTGCACTAATTATTCGACTAAAGGTGGCTGCTCCTGCAGCACCTGGCAGGCAGCATCGTACAGCTCCAGCGAGAAGCTGGACAGATTGTGATTGGTGTGATTGCGTAAATAATGATAGAAGCGACTCGAGCGTCGCTCCAAGCTGGCGCGTTGCTTTTCGCTGCGACAAATCGCACGCATTGCGGGCTCATAGTCCAGGGAGCGGGCGCAGCTGGAGCGTAGTTGGAAGCTGCCCAGCTGATCCGAAAGGTTGAAGCTGCAAAGCAGAGCGAAACAAATTGAAATCTCTCTCTCTCTCCCTCTCTCGTATGTCGTGTCGTACTCACCGCTGCTCTGGCTTATCGAACAAGTTGTAGGCATAGTTTTTGGCTGCCAGAGAGGTGCCAACAGCTCGTTCCACTAGCTCGTGCGCCAGTTGCTCGGAGAGGTGCGGCTGTAGTCGGTCATTCCGCTCCTCGAGCGTCGCATCCAGCAGCGTAGCCGTTGACAGCTGCTCATAGAACGTAGCCAACGTCTGCAGTGGCTCCTGGGCCTCACTCTTGTTGAGCCACGCCTTCTTCGGCGAGCACGACTTGCGCTTGCCCACACGCCGGGACACGGGTGTCGAGGGCGACTGCAGCTGCGTGGAATGCCGCAGCAGTTCGTTGAGATTGAGGCGAAGCAAGCGAAAGTCAACGGGAAAGGGTATCAAGTGCTCCACATTCTGTGCGCAGGTATAAAACTCGAACAGGCGCTGATGTATCTGGACGCCGGGCAGCGTGGACAAACGTGGCGATTTGCTGGGCGAGCTGGAAGCAGCAGCGCCCGCAGCTGCCGCTTGCTCTCGCCGGGCATCGCCGCCGCTTTGTATAAAGAACTGCAGCTCCATCAGAGTCTTGCGCAGATTCTGATTGTTGAATAAATATAGGGATATCAGCTCGTCCAGCTCGATCGGGCAATTCTCCATCAGCGCCAGCACGGCGAGAAAGCGTGAAATATTCAGAGCATTTGGCGCCTGAAACTTGATCATGTTCTGCTGCATCAGGCGCTGCAAATGCGCGCAATTCGGATCGGTGGCAACGATGATGACCGGACGCTTCGAGCTGGCAGCGAGTGTGTAAATGGCATCCGTGAAGCCAGCATCGATGTTGTCAAAAACAATGTCCGCATCCTCGATGAGTATCAGAGACTTGCGCACATCCTCGTCGCCCTGATTGCGCCTGGCTTTCAGGCCATTCAGCTGCAGCTTTTGGAGCAGCTGCTGGGTGGGCGCGGCGCCAGCTTTGGCCTCCTTGCGTATCTGATGCGATTGCGTTGCCTCCTGCAGCTCCTGTATGAGCTTCTTGCCCGTCCGCCGCATGCCCGCATTTATTTCCAGCACGTTGAAGTTCATATCGTTGGCCAAAGCGAAAACCGCGTTCGTTTTGCCACTGGAACAGGGCCCGAGCAAGACCATCGTATTGCAGCTGGCGCTCATCGAGCTGGAATCGTGGTCGTTGGAGCTATCTTCGAACGGCTGTGAGTTCCGATTGCTGGCACTGGCGCCATTCCAATTGGCCAGGAAATCACGCAGCTCCTGCACAGGCGTCAGGTTTACAAGGACCTGCTCGAACAGCAGCGGCTTGTACTTCTCAGTGAAGAGCAGCTCGCCATTGGGCGCCAGGGCTGGCGGCTGGAAGTCCTCTTCCTTGTCCGACTCCTTCTGCTGTTCGATGGAGCGCCGCGTGCGTCGGGTAACCACAAACGATTCACCCATTGGCTGCGTATCCTGCGCCGCGTCTATAGCACTGAAGTGTCTATACTTCTCACGCATCTGATTGTAGCACTTGAAGGTGGGGAAGCGTTCGAAGATGCTCTTCCAGTTCTTGACCATGGCCCGCTTATTATCCAGCTGCGGCAAGGGCGTCCAATTGCAGCTGACTCTCTTTTTGTTAGCCACAAAGTCGGAGGCAGTGCAGCTGGTTATGCTACCAGGGCAGGTTTTGCGCACTGTCGCTGGCTTTTGGAGCTGTTCTTCCGCACGCCAAGGCAGCTGCTTGCTTGTCCCCTTGTCCAGCCTCTCGCTGCCCACATGGGCTATGCTTGGGAACAGCTCGTAGCTATCTTCGTAGTACTGCTCGTAGGAACGCTGACGCTGCTGCTCCTGCCTCAGTTTCTCTGGTACGCCGGAATGCAAGAACTCTTGACGAGCCCGCAATGCTGTGGGATCTGGACTTGGCTTGGGCAGCTGTCGCATGAAGAGCGGCGCCAATTTTTTAGGCGTTACAGCTGGATTGCTGCTGTCCAGATCTATGATTTCCACTGAATCCTGTTCTTCCACTGCTGGCGGTTGCTTGGCTTTCGTGGGACTCGCCTCCAGGTCGTAGTCATAGCGCGCCTTGGCTGCACACGAGCGCCTCGGCCGACCGGAAGGGGTCGTTGTCGCTGAGCTCTCTTCAACATTGACTGCGTTAATAGAGCTAGTTTTGCTGGCGCGTGGCCGGCGCCTGGGCGTCTCTATTGTCTCCTCTATCAGCAGAACTTCTGCCTTTTCTTTTTCTACCGCATTCTGTGGCGATTCCACTTTGCTAAAGTAGCCCAGCAGGCTATCGCGCTTTTTGGTGGGCGACGACAGCTTCGATAGAAACTGTAGTGTTTCGGGATCAGGGCTAATGGGCAAAGCCGTCTCCACATCTGCGCTGAGCCGTCGCGTGCGTGGACGTCCGCGCAGTCTTTTGGTTGGAGCTGAAGCTGTTTGCGCCTGCTGGCTGCTAGGCGTTTGCTTGCCCACGCTCAGCACCTCCTGGCTACTGATGGCCTCCTTTGCCTCTTGCCTGCTGCCCGTTTGCTTTCGACCCTTCGGCAGCTCCTGACTTCTGTTGGACGATTTGCCTTCGCTCCGCTCGGCTGGCTGGGTCAACATTTTCTTTAAGCTGCAATTGATTTAGAAGAGTCAACGATTGTTTTTCGCTAAAAGTCGAGCAGCATCTTACCGCTTGGCGCGCTGCTCCATTTTCTGCTCAATGTACTCGCCACGTGCCTCGTCTGCCAGGCGACGCTTGGCCCCGCCCTTACGTTCATTCCACTCCTGCAGCAGTTGCTTGCGTTTGGTTTGAGGTGTGACTGTTGGCTCCACAGGTTCTGCCAACTCCTGGCCATTGGCATTGCCGCCCATGGAGCGATTGCGCGCATTCATCATTAGCTCGAATACATTTGTGGCTTTGGCTGGGGCTTTGCCAGCTGGATCAGCCTTGGCAAAGTGCTTCATGATCGTTGATTGTGGCGTGCTGCTCTTGAGCGGGCTCGCACTCGATTTGCGTTTCGCTTGACCCAAACCGTTCTCCCGCGCCGTTTTCTCTCGCAGCACGTGGCGGCCATTCGGCGTTGTTGTTGTTGTAGTTGTGGCTTCAATTGTTGTTGTTGTTTGATCGGCTAGCATTGCTGCGCGTCGTTTCTCTTCGCGCTTTCGCTTGTGTTTCTCACGATGCTTTTGCTTCACTGTATTCAAAACTTCCTCCATGTTTTGCAAAATTAATTTGGACTTGGCGCTGGGCGGTGCTCTCAATATGAAAGGTGATGTGGGCGGCTGTTCCAGTACATTTTTGGTGGGTGTGGTAAAATTGGCTGCCTCTTCAGCGTTTGTAGTAGTAGTGGGTGTTGTTGTTGTTGTTGTTTGCTCACTTGTAAGACAATTTACATCAGTCATTGTTGTCTCTTCGTTTTTTACATTCGTACATAGTTTAAGCTCTGTATGTGTGTCAGTGTAGTAGTGTCTGTGTATATATATGTATAATTTGCAAGCAATTTAGGTGTACAAAGCCAAACTTATAAAATTTGCAACAAACAACGGAGTAAAGCAAGCTACATACATAAATAAACAATAAATTGTGTACCTTGGATTTGGCCTTTTTTTCTTATAACTTGCACACGCACACGCACACATACAAATGCCAACACAAGCACTATATCAAAATGCACACCCTCGCGCAAGCACTTAACCACTCAGATAATTCTTTTTTCTATTGTGCATTCTTTAAAATTGTTTAAACATTTCGAAAAATTTAGGAAATTAACAAATTTCTGCGCAAAAATGCAGGAGATGATTGATACAAGAAAAATGGCGCGAAGGCTTTACAACACTGCTGATACATGATTCGCTATCGATAGTTTTTATCGATAGGAGCAATTGCTTGACTATGCGATAGTGCGATAGATCGGAACGTCTTGTTCGATTGATGATGTGACTCTGACAAAATAAAAACTAAGTGACGTCACAAATAAAAAACAAATATATTTTTGACACATCTATTGTTGTTGTATAGTTAACAGAAATGTAACGAACTCTATATATCTTCAAGTAAATCAAAGGAATGTGTGTAAACTTTTACAATTTATATTCAGTTAGTTAAGATTTGACCATCAAGGTCATATTCAAAATTTTGTGACGTTATGCGCAAAGAGAGGGAAACACGTTGTGCGCCACATTAAAACGAATGTGTGTTTTTGTTGTCATAGTATGTGAAATACGCTGCCAAGATATAAACAACAAACAAGTATTTTTTTATTTAACAAAACCGTTTTGGTGTGCAGCAACAATAACTGTTTTTAAACATGTCAAAAACGTCGAGCGTAGGGAGCTTAGAAAGTGCTGTAACGGGTCAGCTGCCGCCGTCGATACGCAGAATGCAACAGCAGCAGCAGCAACAGCAACAGCAACAACAACAGCAACAACTTGATACCGAAAAAGACTACCCAAGTGCGATTGAGCTATTGCGCCAGCGTTCGCAACGTTTGGCGACGCGACTGCAACAAACGCAAAAGGAATTCTCAACGAAATTGCCAAATACAACGGATTATCCCTTGATCGAACAGAAAGCTCATCAATTTATGCGCAACTATGTCTCACAGTCGCAAATGCAATTGCCGCAGCAACGTTCAATGCCAGTGCTCAATGTTGCTAGTGCTGTTGCAACAGCAAATGCCGCTGCCAATCAACTGCAACAACAACAGCAGCCGCAGCAGCAGCAGCAGCAGCAGCAGCAAAGTCATTTACCACCATTGCCGCTGCCTTTGTCTAGCTACCCCTTTCCCATGGCTTCCTATATGCCAATGCATATATTTGCAACAGCAGCCACATCCATTCAGTCAACGCAACAACAACAACAACAACAACAGCAGCAGCAGCAACAGGAGTTAAAGAAAAAGCGTAAATCTCGCCATGCGCTTAACAGCGAGGTGGATGCCCTTAAGGACCTAGTCCTAAAACTTGCCTGCCTGAGCCCCGACATTAAGGCGCACGCTCAGCAGTTCATCACGCAAAACGAGGTGCTCGCCCAGCTGGATTGGCTGCATCTATCAGATGCGCAGCAATTGAACAGATCGAACAACTATATGGCAGCTAATGTAATGCGTCAGCAGGTGGTAGCTGCTGGTCATCGCATTGATGGCGGCATGGACATGACGAATCGTCAGCAACATCAGCAGCAGATGCAACAGCACCTGCAACAGCAACTGCAGCAGCAACATCAGCTGCAACTGCACCAGCAGCAGCAACGACCAATTGCCCGACAGCCTGGAAATCAAACACAGCCCATGACTCAAAAGCGTTTAGGCGAGATTCTGCGTTCACGACGCGATTCAGATATATCCACCACTAGTAGCAGCAGCACTGCTGCCACAACTCAGCAGCAACAGCAACAACAACAGCAGCAGCAACAGTTGGAGACTGGTGGGCAATCGCCGCGCAAACGCAATCGCAATCGCAAGAAGCGCAATGACAAGAACACGCCACGTTCTCTAAAGACCGAACTGGATGCCATGCGTTCCTACATCAACAAGATCGTGCAACAGCATGTGGGCAGCGAGCAGCTGTTGCCGCAGGAGCTGCTCTTCAAAGGTGACTTTGGTGATCTAGAGACGCATGCCAGACGCCTGGTAACCGCTGGCTATGGTCGCATCGTCGAGGAGGAGATTCGTGTGAATCGGAAAAATAATCGCCAGGCGTTCATAACTATGTCCACGGATCGCGAGGCACTGGAGCGTGATGGCATTGTTCTATTGCCCGTGGCCAGACGCTATGCCTTCGAAGGCGATACGGTGCGTGCTTTTGTCTTGAATGTGGGCGCCACGGTGAACAAGACAACGGATGCGTCAGCGGGCGCAATTATAGGTGGCAAGGGCTCGCTATCATTAGGTAATTGTGAGCTTCCTCTTCTTCTGATAGCTTCTAATGCCCTCTCTCTTTTCGCAGCTGAGGACGAGGAGTTGTCGGAGGAGACCGAATCGCAGGACTCTGACGATGACAATGTGACAGTCATTTCCTCCGATAATTGCCCCAAAGCTTTTGTCATTGCCATTGTTAAGCAAACCGAGCTACGCCAGATTGTCGGCAATATTTCCTTTACTAATCCCACCAAACTGTGCGACGATGAGTTGTTCTACAAATTTCGGCCCTTTGACTTGCGCATGCCCATGGTCTATATATCGCAGGCTAGCTGCGCGGCTCATTTGGGTGGCAAGCAGATGGACGAAGTGTGCGGCTTGCTGTATCTGGCGCACATACTCGAGACGGACTCCAATGGCCATTGCATTGCGGAGCTGGTGCAGCCGCTTGGACGCGTTGGCAATCTGGACAATGAATTGAAGGCCATACTCTTCCATAATAGTTTGCGAGATATTGTTCCGTATGAGGAGCGCTTCAATGAGATGTACGCACAGGCGGCGCCAGCTGTAACAGCCACTGATCTATTGAATCGTCGGGATATGCGCAAAAGCTGCGTCTTTACCATTGATCCACTGACTGCACGGGATTTGGATGATGCCCTGTCCATTGAGAAGTTGGGCGATGATGAATATGAGGTTGGTGTGCACATCTCAGATGTCTCACATTATCTGCAAGAGAACAGCGAGCTGGACAACATTGTTAAGGAACGTTCCACATCGATCTATTTGGCCAACGAGGTGATTCATATGCTGCCGAAGACGCTCTGCTTCCGTTGCTCCCTGTTGCCAGGGGAGGATAAGTATTCGTTCTCTGTCTTCTGGCGCATGGATGGCCAGGGCAAACAGCTGGCTGAGCCAAACTTTACAAGATCCATCATGAACTCGTGCTCACAGTTTGCCTACGAGCATGCCCAGAAGATAATTGATAATCCACTCGAACCTTTCACCGAGGATGATTTTCCCAACATACTCAATGGTTTTACGGTCAACGATATAGTCCAGAGAGTTACCTGGCTGCATGGCATTGCCTCGAAGATTCGCACTAAGCGCTTTGATGATGGCGCCCTCACCATCAACAATGCTAAGGTTCGCTTTAGTCTGGATCCACTGGAAGGCGAACCCATGGGCTTTGAGGTGGAACAACAGAGAGAGGCGAATCACATGATCGAGGAGTTCATGTTGCTGGCCAATCAGGCGGTGGCCAAATTCATCTACGATGCATATCCCAATATTGCGGTGCTCCGCAATCATCCTCCTCCCTTGACCAAGTCACTGAAATCGTTGCGAGAAAAGCTTCACTCGATGGGTTTCGATTTGGACTACAGCTCCTCGAAAGCGTTGCAGACCAGCATGCAAAAGCTCTGCCAGGAAGCTGCCGACCCTGTTGCCATGTCGGCGTGTCTAAGCCAGCTGCTAATGAAGCCCATGGCGCGTGCGACGTAAGTAAAGCAATATTAACATGAGATATTATAATACCCTGTAATGTTTTGGAAGAGTATAGGACGGCATCTGTTGACATAAATGAGATGAGCTTAGTCGCATAAATCTATATATATATATGTTATTACAGGGTATTAATCATGTTCTTTCTTTTTTACAGCTACATATGCAGCGATGGCAAAACGGAACCTTCTGATCTATGGCATTACGCCCTCTCAATACCCATCTACACCCACTTCACGAGTCCAATTCGACGCTATCCGGATGTTATGGTGCATCGGTATGTACTTCCCCCTTTTTCACTCTCTTTTAGAGATGCTTAAGTTTGTATACAATATTTAAAGGCACTGCATTTATGTGCGATACTTGCTAGTTTCGATATCTTTAACGATATTTAAATTGCGTACTTACATAGGTATGTAAGATAATGAAAGTGGCTAATATTTGGAAGTTTATAAATCAGAAGCTAAAGTGAAGTATTTTCTAATAATACTACACCCACAACAATATAAATAATTAAGCAATGTGTTTAGCGAATGCAATTTTAATAAGAATTGCTATTATCGACCATTTTTAAAATGTTCATTGCGATGATGCATATCGATATTTAAGATAGTTGCGAACCTCATTCCTATTTTCATTCTTTTTTGTTGCCTTTGCAGTCTGCTCGCCGCCGGTTTGAACTACTGCGCTGCACCTGAGCGCACAGCGGATGAACTGCATCATTTGACAAAAGTTGCTAACGAACGCAAATACAATGCCAAGCAAGCGGGCGATGATTCCAGTAATTTGTTCTTCAAGCGGTATGTGAGCAATCGACAGGTGATCTATATGCGTGCCGTGGTCATGGAGATCTTTCAGCATATGATGAATGTGGTCACCCTTGAATCAGGACATGTCATAAGTATCAACTACAAAATGCAGCGAGTGCTAATTGATACGCATAATGCACCCAATTTCATTCTGGTTGCCGAGAGGAATATGAAGCAGACGCCATATAAACTGCAATTTCTCTCTGTGGTGCCCATTCGGTTGATTATATGGGATGGCAAGCTAACGGGATTTTTACTCACTGCCGATCAGCGTCAAAAGGGACCCAGCATTGAACATCAAGGCGCCTCCTCTCGCAAGGACAATAAAAAGCAACAACAGCAGCAGCAGCAACAGCAACAGTTGCAACAACAACAATCTGCAAAAAGCAGCAACAAATCTAATAAAAATAATGTACACCTGAAAAATGCTCAACAACTGTCGCAGGAGCAGCAACGTCTGCGTCGACAGCAGCAGCAGATTCAGCAACAACAACACCAACAACAGCAGCAGCAACAACAACAACAGCAGCAGCCGCAGCGAATGTTTGCCGTGCGAAAAAACAGTTCATAATTAACTATAACAGCGAAACAACCGATTTGAAGATAGCGGCCGCAAAAATATCGCATTTACACACACACGTGCAGCTTTTTTCTATTTTATTTTTAAATCGTTGCTGCGTGTTTTCTAATTCATCTTCAATTTCAAAACACAGTGGATCGATTATAAATTTCCTGAAACCTGTGAATTATCGATTATTAATCAAGTTGCAACTCTGATGTGGTCGATATGCAACCTCTTAAAAAATGCAAAAAAAAAACTTTAATTTTGGTCTACACATATTGAAATTTTGAAAATATATTTCCAATTAAGTCAAAATTTTCAGTTTTCAAAAAGAACTTCCAAAAAAAAAGAAAGAAAAAACTCAGAAAACCTTCCCGCTCTTTGACATATGTGACTCCCCATCTTCCAACGGATCAGGCTGCAAACGGAGAGTATGTTAATTCAACACAATTTGTTACATGGTACCCAGTGTAATTGGGCAGTTGTTTATTTGTTGCACACTGTTGCGTGTTATTTGAAGCACACGAGAGACTGGATGGTATGGATAAAAATTTCCCGACACCTTGCGGAAACTAACAGAATCTAGTTATGCTCGCAAATAAATAGTTTAAATTTATTTTAACAGCAAACTTCTCCAGTTAACAGTTAACGCAGGCCGTTTGCTAACAATATACTTAGTTTATATGTACGAAGTAATTATTAAGCAAGAAGCAGAAAAAATTTATTCAAAATTGCCACTGTATGGAATTTGTTTCATAAAATTTTTTATATTATAGAAATAAAATTTAAATATCTTGAAGCGGTGTATTGATACTTAATCGGAAAAACACGTACGCCTTATCGATAGCATGTAACAGTCCAATAGAGAGCGTAACAGCGCACAGTTTGGGCAACACTGCAAACAGTTTGAGTCGCATTGCTTAAATTCTGTCGTTCGGTAAGGTTCATACGTCCATTAATTATATTTATATGTGAAAAAGAAAGCAAATTAAAATAAAAACAGCAACGTTAGCTGAAGCTCGTTGAGTTCATAGAGTGCATAGAACTACTAAAAAATTAAAAACAATATTAATTAAACAGCAGTTGTCATCAACCAATTGCGTGCTTCACTGTTACGGCAAAAGGAAAGCGCAAATGAAAAAATATATACACACAGCCAGAGGCAGCAGAAGCAGCAGCAGCGTAGCATCGCAACAAGGCAATGGCGAAGGCGGCGCATGCTCGAGGGGAGCTTCTATCCTAAAATCGCGCGTAATTTGCTTAAAAACATTCCCGATATATGTTCAGAGAAAGGGCATATTAATTATACAAAAAGAAAAGAAAATAGAAGTGCAGACAGCAGGCAAAATAACTGTAGTATGGTAGCAGGGGTAGAGAGCGGAATTCATCGACCAGCCAAGAAATCAACAGTGCTGTGGAAAAAGTGAACAGCACAACTAGCGCTGAACAACACTGGCTACATATATAGTCGTCCCACTCCCGCCCATGCGGGAGGCAACGCGTTTTTGTTTGTGGGCCTAGTTTATTGGCCATCTGTTTTGATTTTCTCTTCTTGAAATTAAGCGCGCGAAAGGGGTGCGCGTGTACTTTCTTTCTCTCCCGAAATGCAAACGTGTGGGTGCGCTCCCAAAGTGTAACAGTGTGCGCTTGAGTATATGTGTGTATCGCAATTTACGCCGCGCGCGCTTTTGATAATTGATAAGCACTCGTGTTTGTTTGTGTATCTCAAACAAATTGACAATAACAACATACGCTCATACATGCACACGCACACAAATACTCACACACACATGTTGCACACGCGTTTTTATTTTTGCCGCCATTAAGTTTGGGTACATGTGTTTTGTTCTTGTCATACTCCGGCAGTACTTAAAAAACATAAATATAAATTAAAAAATATATAGTCAATATATCAATATATCAAACAACTGGCCGTCTTACATTACATTTTATTTAAATTAATTGAATATCTGTTTTGTACAGAGTTTGTGAAGCGAATATTAAATTAAGCAACAACAAGGAACGATCAGAAAGCAAACGCAACCGCAACCGCGCCCTGGAATTGTTTTTAATTGAATCTTGAAGACAACCAAGTTTATAATACACAAAGCATACATAAATGGTTTCTACTTTCATTGGCCTATTGGGTAAGCAATAAATCCAAAAAGAATTTTTACATTTATTTTAAATATCTCGTTTTCTTTTAGACATACAATCATGGTGGGAGATACCGTGTATTTCGCATTTCTGTTCATTGTTTAGTTCCGCCTTCGATTTGCCAGACATAGATATTGAGGTGAGCTTGGCACGCATAGAATTATTTTGAAATATACCATTAACTAAAGTCTTGTCTATTTGTCTTGCAGGACCTCGAATCGGCGCTGCTCTCCGATGGTACCAGCGATGAGGATCAAGTTGCCTTAGTGCCCGAATTGATTGTACGCCTTCTAACCGGCTGCGATGCGCTACAGTCGGTAGCCAATGAGATTACACATAGCAATTATCAAATGTTTTTGCGCCGATTCCTGCGCCAACAGTGTCGCCTGCATCAGACAGAGAATCACTTTGATACGGACATAGATTTTCAATCGCTGCCCGTTCGCAAGCGTCTACAAATTCTGCACGATTTATGTCACTTTCGCCTGGACTCTGTCGATGTGCAGGTCATACTCAGTAATCTAGAGGCGGACAGTTTGCGCGTTGAGCCGCTCGGCTACGACGCTAAAAATTCGGGCTATTGGTATTTCTACGGCACGCGACTCTACCGCGAGGACAAGCCTACATCGGCCGCAGCTTCCGGTTCAAGCAAAACATCAGCAGCAGCTGGAGGATCCGCTGGCTCCAGTGCGAATACAACTTTAGGCAGCAATAGCACTGTCTGGCAGGTGATTTGCTTCACCGAAGAGGATTGGCAGAATTTGGCGGCCAAATTTAAGACCTCAACGAATGGTAAAGAACGTGAACTCTTCCAAATACTGGATGAGAACTTTCTGCCCAAGCTGCCACAGCTGTTTCGCGAGCGTGAACGTTTGAGACGCAGAAAGTAAGTGTTTCGCAGATGAAAGTACGAGATATGATTTTGTTTCATGTTCATTCTGTCTTTGAGTGATACAGAATCAGTTATTTATATATGTATAAAGCCTTGCTTTAGCCAATAAGAACAGCAAAGAGAGATGATAATGGCATGCTGTACTCTGTAGCTGAAGATGTCTTCAATTATGAATCTTGAATAGATGTTTTAAGTGATATTTGTATTCAAATTGCGTTAGATATAGTAATTAACTTTGTTTCTCTCACTCGATTACAGACTGCTGCAAGTGCGAAACTCCAGTCGCATACGTAATCTAGCCGAGTTGAAGGCGCGCCAGGAAGAGGAGTTGAAGGCGCGCCAAGAAGAGGAGCGTAAGCGTGAGCGGGAGCGAGAACGTGAACGTCGCGAGCGACAATATTCAGCGAGTTTGGCGCCGCCCGCGGCGCAGCAACGCTCACGCAGACGGTTAGCACGTCCAGTATTATAAACAGAGCAAGAAGCGGACAGCATATATCACAATCATATAAACCACACAACAACAACAACAAGAACAACAACCACACACAGACAACAACAACAGCCAGAACTATCAAGCACACGCACACATCCAAGCATATTTTGTTTCAAAAGCCGCTGTTTAAGTTTGATTATTGAAATTGATTTTGTTTTCATTTCGATTTGTTTTACTTAAACGACAACAAAAAGTTGCTTAAAGAATTGTCATTGAAACTTAGAAGAAGAATAAACAAACGCATTCTCATCGACGCTTAACAACAGGCCGCCAGCGAGAGAGACTGAGAGAAACTGAGAGACACTGGACCAAATAATCGAGCGACACGCACTTAATTTCAGTTTTGTCCATAATTTGAAAATAATTGGTTGGATTTCGTTTTCAAAAGCAAATAAAAAAAATAATCAAAACACACAATATGAACAATTATGTAAGCATGCTTCTTTTACTATTCCTATATTTGATATATTGCAATTTATTATATTACTTTTGCTTAAATTTTATAATTTAACTTTAACATTTGTTGTGGCACTTCATTCCATTCAGCTTTCATCGAACAGGGCCCACCTGCAACAAGATGTTATCTACGCAACAAATGAACACAGACTTTTCCATAGCGTATTATATCATAACAGTAAAAATCGTTTTGCAAATTAACTTAGTTACAGTGAATGCTCGAAAAGAAGAGTCTAACATGAGTTTTCAATTAAATTTATAAACATTTTCGTTAGCCTTTAAAAATCATTTAAAATATTGTAGAGTTCATAATATTTAATGTAAAATCAATGAGAACTTCTTTGCAGGTATTCACTGTACTTAAAATGCAATTTTCATGTAAAAGCTTAACAAACATAACCAGCAAAGTAATTAATTAGACATCATAAATCAGGGCAAATGTATTAATATTCATTTAATTTAGTCTTAAGCGATTTCTACTGTGCCTTTGTTTAAGTAAACCTCTTGATATACTATGAATTGTTAGTAAAATTTATTAATGATTTACTTCTCTCTGCTCTTCTCGCTGCAGCTCTCAATCGACATCAACAGCTAGTGGTATTTCAACTTACGCAAGCTCCCTCAGACGTACAACAACAACTAATTCGAGCGAATTTCTGTGCCACAGGGAAACCTTCTGCTTGTCGCCCGAAGAGGATGATCAAAACGACGACGAGGAGTCGACACAAGAGCAGCAGCAGCAACAACAACTAGCGGAACAGCAAAAGCAACAGCTCGAGCAGCAGCAACAACAACAATTTGAAGAGCAACAACAACTCGAGCAGCATCAGCATTTAGGCTCTGTAACAGCAGCTGGCGATAAGTTTCGTACGCCGCCACCGCCGCCGAGAGAAAAATCGCAAACGCCAGCGAAATTGAAGAACAAGAGCCATCATCATCATCACCATCACCATCATCACAAGAAGAAGAAGTCAGGAAAAAAGCAAAAGAAACGCTCACGCGAGCGTCGCGATCGTGACAGAGATCGTGGTGATCGGGATCAACAACATTATCATCATCATCGGCGGCGACACAAGCATGCGTCTGAGACAGACGAAGAAGACACGTACAACAACAATAACAACAACAACAATAGCAACAGCAATAGCAACAGCAGCAGCAGCAACCACACAACAGGTGGACGCAGCCACAAGCGACGCCATAGTCGCCATCACCAGCAGCAGCAGCAGCAACATCAGCTGCCGCCGCAGAGTCCAGAGACTCCTTCACTGAGCCCGGAGGATAAGGAGAACTTTTGCCGTCAGCTGCAATTGCTGGATTCAAACTCGGCGGCCATTGCGGTCGCCACAAGCATTGCAAATCTAAGTCTGCCCTCGCCCGTCGCGCATGACAGCGAGGAGCAGCAGCAACAGCAGCCAGAGCCAGCACAGCCCGCACAGCCGCCAGTGCCAGCTGTTAAGCGCGAGGAGCAGATGGCGCCAGCGGCCAATGTTAAGTTGCCCGGCAGGCAAACAAACAATTCACTTAGTTCCCTAACGGGCAATATATTTATACCAACGGGCGCGCAGCAGCAACAGCAACAGCAGCAGCAACAACATAGCAGCAGCATCAGTAACAACAACTCCACCTCTTCTTCCTCTGGCGAGGCGACGGCACGCTCTAAGAAACAAAAGAGCGCAGTTGGCGCCAGCTCCGGCAACTCCTCCAAAGCGGAACGTAAATCGGAGGCGCCAACGAAAAGCAAAAAGTCAACAGCCACGGGAACGCCATCGTCGGCTGCCTCTACTGCCTCCTCATCCAGTAAGGCGGAACGCATTAGCAACGCCTACTCTGACAAAAGTGCCGATGAGTAAGTGCCAAATAAACTCTAGCTAATCAAACAAAGCCCAACATAGCACAGAATACACACACACACGCACACACACACATACTATCTATGTCTAGATCTTTAAGATCTTTTACTAATCTATGTAAAAAGTATTCCTAAATGTAAAAAGCTTTTACAGACAGCCTATCATTGATTTATTAGAACAAAAATATTTATATACTGAAAGTAGCGCAGAGTTTATAAATTTTGGCTGTCTTAGAAATATCTTTGCAGATAATATGTACTTTTATATATATAACCTAAACGAACTTGACTCTGAGTAAAGTTGAACTGATGAAATTTGATACATGAACTTAGTTTAGATGTGGGAAGTAATTGAATTTATGATTGATTGATATAAAGCTTTGTTAATTTCTAAATGATCGAACAAAATGTAAAATCCATGTCTGCAAAGGTATTTAAGCTTTGTCATTTAGTTTAGACCCTAAATCCTACTGTAATTTTGTTTGTTTGTTATTTAATTGCATGTTCTTAACTGTTGCACTCGTCTTTACTAACCGACACCATCATATTTCATCAAATTGTATATAATATATCAATTGAATTAACATTTTATTACCCATTTGTATTGTACATTTTTGTACCTACCACCACCAAAACAACAACCAACAACATTTTGACTGTTCATCATAACCGTAACAAAAAACCAATAAAAAAAAACGTACCAACAAAAACGTAGCCATGTAAATAGTACCAACCGTAGCAACAGCAGCTTTAACAACAACAACAACAACAACAACCACCACCACCACTACCACCATAAGCACGCGTCGCACCACAATCACAACATCAACAACAACAATCACAACCACTCAACGTCGGAAGCAGCAACCGCAACAAAAATAACAACGCCGCACGGAGCCCAAACACCATCACACAACACCACCAACCACACGCACCATCCCAACTCCACCCACCACCCACATAGTCATATAAACAGTAATAAACATAAGTCTCATTCCTCGACAACAAACATAACACAACAACAACACATAACAAATGTAACCAGACCCATAACACATCATCTAACAAACACCACCATCACAACAACAACAACGACAACAACCACATCATCAGCGAAAGCAAACAACAATTCAACGTACAACTCCTCAAATCATGCGAATATTCTTAGCTTTACCGAAACGGAGGAGGTGCTACAAATCGGAATGCATAAAGTACTTGTCTATGTGAAGAATCACCGGGATGCATGGCCCTTCATGGATCCCGTTGAAGAGGATATTGCACCGCGATATTATTCAATTATCAGAAGGTAAAGTAAAACATACAGTGAGGCTGATATATATAATTTACATATGTGCATGATAATAACAAATAATCGCCCCTCTTCTAGACCCATGGACCTGCTCAAGATGGAGGACAAACTGGACAGTGGAAAGTATCACAAGTTTAGCGAATTTCGCAACGATTTTCGCTTGATAGTTAACAATTGTCGACTGTACAATGGTCAAAACAATGGTAGATCTCAATATACTATATGTGTGTATAAACATTATATAAACTATCTCCCATACCACAGAGTATACGGAAATGGTGAACAATCTGCAGGACGCTTTCGACAAGGCAACCAAAAAATATTTCGATAATCTCTCTGAAGACGACGATGATGATCCGAATTTAAGTTATCCCGCCGCAGACTCAAAAATGAATGTATTTCGCGAAAAGTACTTCAACAAGAAAGTAAAAGGTGAAGAGGAAAAGGAGTCCTCAGCGAACTCGACGTCGAGCAAACGATTACAGGACACCAGTGCCGAAGAGGAGGAGCACAGTGAAACAGAGGAGCCTGCAACGGAAATGACAATACATGCGCAGAAACGTAAACGCAAGGAGAAGGATAAACGGCGTAAAAAGAAAACTAAAACCAAAACCGAAAGAGGCATTGGTCACGCAGAAGATGTGGACACGGATGAAGAGGACTTGCAACCGGAGCCGCCACCGCCGCCGCGTGTAATAAAGAAGAGTAAAAGTAACAAAGTACTTAAAGAAAAAGACAAAGACAAGGACAAGGACAGGGAAAAGGAAAAAGAGCTGGCTACCTCGAGTAAACGTGGACGCAAAGCCAAAGGCAGCAAGTCTTCGCAGTCAACACCGGCCAACAGTTCCTCAAAGCCCACTACCAAAACACAAAAGACCAAAAAAGCGGGTAAAAAGTCAACGCCCGAAACGGAAACGGAATCGGAGGTTAGTGATCCACCACCGTCTGAGCCCGAATCGAGCGACGATGAAGAATTGGCTCTGGCGAAAGTCAAATCGCTAGTGAAACCCACAGCGCGCACGATAGCTGCACAAAAGAAGAAAATGGTGCCCGCCGAGTCGAAGGTGAAGACACCAACGCCTGTTAAGCGGCAGCTGAAGAGCAAGAAGGGAGGACGTGGCCGTGGCAAAGGCGAGCGGGAGCTGGATGACCTGGACGATGATAGTCCGCTATTTGATAAGAAGCAATTGCCGCCAACAGCAGCAGCAGCGCTAGCAGAATCCGCTGCAGAGCTGGAGGAGGACGATGACGAACTTGATAATGACGACAATGCGGATGCAGATGATGATGATGACGACGACGATGATGTCTCACGGTCGCGCAGCATGTCGCCTTTCAAAGTGGATTTACACAAGAAATACTCAAAGAGCGCGCTTAACGATGATCTCTCCGAGCTGCTGACGACTGTTAAAAAGGTGAGCAGTGTCGAGACCTCCAAGCTGAGCGCACGTCACGAGGGTGACAAATCCGATCAGGACTCTGAATCTGATTTTATGTCGTTGGCCAGCTGCAACAGTAGCTCCGATGAGCGGCGACGTCGACCCTCGCCAGTGGCCACTAAGCGGGGTAAGAAAACAGATGTAAAAAAGGAAAAAGAGAAAGAGAAGGAACGGGAGAAGGAGAAAGAGAAAGACAAGAAGAGCTCACAACACAAAGAAAAGGATAAGGATAAAGACAAAGATAAGCATAAGGATAAGGAAAAGTCACGAAGTGCCAAGCACAAGAAGAGCTCCGCAGAAGCAGCGGCTGCAGCAGCCGCAGCTGCCGAGCAGGCGGAACTGGAGATGTTGCTGCCCTTCATGGACAAATACGACGTGATCAAGTATCGACGCAGTCGTGCAGCACAAAGCAATTCCAGTGCATCCAATTCTGTGGCGCCCTCCGAGGACTCCAAATCAACGAGTATCAAGAGCAACAGCAACTCCAAGAAGAAGCGAGAAAATACAACAGAGCCGGCAGCGGATCATAAGCGTGGTCGCAAAAGCAAAGAGCCAAAGCATGCCAAGGAATCCAGCAGCAGCGCAGAGAAGCTAATCAAGCTGGAGAAACCAGAGAAGGAGAAGGAAAAGGAAAAAGAGGAGAAGCCCGTGGAAAAACAGCCGAAGAAAGCAGAGACACCAAAAAACGTTGACAAGCCGCTGCTGCGGGAATTGACGCCACCGCCGGCGTTGGCCAAAACCTCAACACCGCCAATAGCAATTGTTAAGACAGAGCCGGCCACCAAGGATATAGCCAAGTCGGCTAGCAACAATAGTGCCGCCAGCGTCAAGGCCAAAGATTCCAGCGCCAAAGCCAGCAGCAAAAAGCGAGCGGACAAGCAAATGCCACCGCCGCCAAAGCCAGCAGAAAAGTCTGCTGAAAAGGGCAATAAAAAGCTGACGGGCAAAAAAGCAGCTGCAGCGGCTCAAAAAGCCACGGCCAACAGCAACGCGAATCTGGAGGCGCTGGATGTGGAAACGGAGCAAACGTTGAAGGACATCAATCGTTGGCTGGAACATACGCCGCGCTTCTCTGAGTTTAGCTCTGCAAGCAATTCACCTTCGCGTTACAATTTGCTGGATGACTTTGATTCGAGCATTGGCACCAAACTTGATGCGGCAGACTTTAGGCGACCCGTTGCTCTGGCTGCGCCCAAGGCGGAACTAGTGCCCACAAAGCTGGCCGAAGCGCTTAATGAGCTGGTCAGCGAAACGACGCCCAAGCAAAGCATAAAAACCGAATCCGATGTGCTTCCCACGGCGAGCAGCGTGAGTAGCAGCTGCGGTACACCACCGCATTCAATGCACTCGGGTAACTCCATTGGCAGTACCTCGGCTACAGCGGCTAGCTCTACCTCGGCGTCCTCCAACAACTCTTCAGCAATAACGCCGCAGGCAGCAGCGCCAGCGGTTCCTTCCACAACCGGACCAGCAGCAGTTGTAGCAACAGCAACGTCGGCACCACTCAAGCCCGTCAAGGAGCCGAGCAGCACACAGCTGCTTCTTAATCCTCCACCGCCACCGCACATCAAGCAACAGATGGCCAAGGAGGCGAAACGCAAATCGCTCAAAGAAAAACAAGCGGCAACGGCGCAGGCTCAGCAGGCCAAGGCCAAGGCGAATGTGATGCGAACTATTGAGAGATTGCAGCCGGGTAAGGCCAAGGGAAATCTCATACAGAACGTGGCCAAGACGGAGGAGCTGGAAACGCTACTCAGTCCTGTGGTCAGCAAGATAAAAGAATCGAAAAATGCGCTTACCTCGGAGAGCAGCGATGGAGCACCAAAGCTTAGTCTGGGCACGGTGATCACGACCCAAGATTTTGCGCTAGGCAAAACACTCGAGGAGCTGGCGAACAAGAAGGAGCACGAACAGCAGCCCAAAGAGAACAGTAGCTGCGGCAGTCCGGAGGAGTCAGCTTCAGCAACAACGCCCACCAAAGAGCCACCCAAGCCGTTCGAAGCGCTGCTCGAGCTGAGCAAAGTCAGCGAATTGACTTCCAAAGCAGCCTCAGCCGAGGCCAAGGAGAAGCCCAATTTGAGTGCGTGGCTCAAAGCTTTTGGCGGTCCGAAGGTCAACAAGAAGTCCAGCGAGGATGAGAAGCAGCCAACGTCGTTGTCGATCGCACAGGATGACGCCCGGGTGGCGCCACCCGCCCACTCGCCAGCTGCTGGCGATCCGACCAACAACTTTTCGCTGCCTGTTGTGATGCGACAGCGCAAGCCCAGCACGGGTAGCAGCAATTCGGAGCGCAGCTCCTTCAGTCAGGATCCTGATTCGCCGCGCATAGCCATCGATGAGCGTTATGGTTCCTATGCGGCTGGCTCGTATACATCGCCTATTTGCGCCTCACCTATTGGCGCCTCACCCATCATGGTGTCACCGAAGCCAAATGACGATATGGGCAAGCCAGCATCTCCATATACTCTCAACGGAGCCATAAAGGTGGGCTTCTATCAGGACACCACCACCAAGAGTAGTCCAGATAAGAGCTGTAGTCCGCGGGAGATGAATTCCCCGTATCCACAATATTCGCAGCATATTTACTCTTCGGCTTCCTCGCCAAATGTTTCAACGCCGGAGCTGAGCGGCACTTCGCCCTACGGTGGGGGCAATAGCTATAATCCGTCTGGCTCAGAGGCGTCGAAGACACCAGCCTATTCTTCCACATCGCCGTTGCCCATTTATGATCAATACAAACAGCCGCGATCGCAGGAATCCGATTATAACTCTTCAATGAGTCCCAGCACGCCCAATCCGCATTCACCCTATCAGCAGCCACAGAGTTCGCCTTACACCACTCCTCACTCCACGCAGCCTTCCCCTTACCATGGCCAGTCGCCATATCATCAGCCGCAATCGCAACAACAGCAGCCGGCGCAACAGCAGCCACAGCAGCAGCAGCAGCCTTCGCACAGTCCCAATGCCCAGCAGCAGCAGGCGCTGAGCCCAATGCCCAGCAGCGTGGATTCGCCCGCCTCCTCGGCTGCCACACAGCCACCCACGCCGCTGGCCCAATCTCCGGCCGAGCAACAACATTCACCTTATCAACAGCCTGTGCTATCGCCCTACCAGCAACAGGTGGCACCGCCTGCGCCGCCAGTGGTTCAACCGCCTGCGCCAGCACCAGTTGCACTCCCTACGGCACATTTACCAGGTAAGCTAAGCATGGCAGCTTTTCGATAAGCCCTTGACTTGTTTTACTTAACATTTTCTAACTTTGTCTTCTCGTTTTTTTTAGCAACTATGGGCAACAGTGGGTATGGGCCAACACATGACAGCTATCAGCAGCAACAGCAGCAGCAACAGCAGCAACAACACGCCTTGTATAATCCAGCAACGCTGATCAATCCGCTACCAGCTGCTGCTGCTACAGCGACGCCTGTGGCTAAGCCAAATAATAACGAATGGAGCCTGGGTCACAGTCTACTTCCGCCTAACCTGACTGCGACTCAGCAGCAACAACAGCAACAGCAACATCAGAGTCAACAGCAGCACCATCAGGCATTGGCTCATCAGCAGCAGCAGATGCATGGAATGAAGCCCAAGTATCCGACATATGCACAATATCAATCGACAAATGCGGCAGCCAATGCAGCAGCAGCAGCGGATGCTGTTGACAATCAACAGCAACAGCAACAGCAGCAGCAGCAGAAAATTGTACCACCTAGTTATGGCAGTGATATGGCCACCTTTATGCAACATCAAATGCAGCAGCCAGCCAAAACGGAGACATTAATAAATCCGTTAAAGCGTTCCAATGAGGATTATAGAGATGTTGCTGCCAGCAAACTGGCCAAGCTGGATGAGAATCATCAGCAACAATTGCATACAGCCACACAACAACAACAGCAGCAGCAACAACAACAGCAGCACCAGCAACAACAACAGCAGCAGCAGCAGCAGCAGCAACAGCAACAGCAACAGCAACAACAGCAACAACAACAGCAGCAACAACAACAGCAGCAACAACAGCAGCAGCAATCGCAGCCTCAAACATTGCTCAACAAGCAACAGCAAATGTTTAATAGCTTCCTAGGTTCCATGACCTTTGGCAAGCAGCTGGGCCCTATAGCGCCGGATAAGGCATTTGAAATGTATAATCGAGCGGCGGCAATGGGTTTTCCCAAAGATTTTGCTAAAGACAGCAACGCCTGCAACATGCAGCAGCAGCAGCAGCAACAGCAACAGCAACAGCAACAGGTAGCGGCTAATAAGCAACAGAATAGTCAGCAGCAGCCACAGTCACAACCACAGCCGCATTTAACTCAGCTGCAGCCGTCGCGTACTCTAACCTATCAGGAACATCATCAGCAGCAACAACAACAACAACAGCAACAGCAGCAGCAAAAGCTGCAGCAACAACAAGCGCCACACAAGCCGCATAACTATGGCAGCACCAGCAACAATCTACAGCAACAGCAACCTCAGCCCACACAGCAACAACAAGAGCAACAACAGCAGCAGCAGCAGCAAGCGCACAATGCGTATCAGCAGCAGGCGCAGCAGCTGAATCACAACTATGCACCAGCAACAGCTGCAGCTGCTGCTGCAGCGCAACAACCAACAACTGGCAAGCCCACATCAACAACACAATCCGCCGTTACGACCAACAACGACAACAGCAACATGTTGCACTTGTCCGCAACTGCACATCAGCATCATCTCAGTCAGACGCATCATTTGGCTGCCTACAACAAGCCCACGCCTCCACCACCACAAACCTACAACAATCCGCTGATGCACACGCTAGCGGAGTCCATGCTCGGCTATCCTGTCAACTACTTTGACAAGAATATGCCGCCAGCAGCTCATATGTACAGTGCATCCAGTGCTGCTACAGCGTATGGCAATCCCGCTCAGCAGCTGCCTGGCAACTATGTGCCTGGTAGCAATAGTGCCGCACAGCCTACGCCACAGCAGCAACAGCAGCATCATCAACAACAGCAACAACAACAACAACAACAGGCTGCAGCAGCAACTGTCGAGGTTAAGGCTCCTGCCAAACGTGGACGCAAGAAGAAGGCAACGACAGTGGCAGCAGAGGCAAACACTAAGCAACAGCAGCAGCAGCAGCAACAACAACAACAACAGCAGCAACAGCAGCAACAACAGCAGCAGCAGCAACAACAACAGCAGCAACAGCAGCAGCAGCAACAGCAGCAGCAGCAACAGCAGCAGCAGCAGCAACAACAGCAACACAACCAGCAGTCAATGTCACAGTACAACATGCCACAAATGCCTGCAGCGGCTGCCAGCTCTGCAGCCCATCAGCTGCAGGCGCACGCTCAGGTGCTGCATCAAGGCTTTCAACTGTACGCGGGTCTCAAATCCGGCGGCGTTTCTTCGCCTGCTGCTGGTACGTCGTCATCCGCAACAGCAGCAGCTGCAGCCGCCGCAGCTGCAGCCGCCGCAGCTGCAGCAGCTGCGGCCGCTGCTTCAGCGAGCAGCGCCTCGGCCAATCAAACGGCGGCCGATGCGGCAGCCATCTCGCTGAAGACCGCCAGTGGCGGCGCCGGCATGGTACCCGGCAGTGCGTTCAACTTTGCGCCCACGCCCAGTGCGTTGGGTCTGTACGGGGATCAGACAGCGGCAGCAGCTGCTAGCAGCTACTTAGATCAGTTCCGCGATGCTGCACCTAATCCATATTATATGCCACCCGCGCCGGCGCACAGTGGAGCCACAGCAAATGCAGCGGGCAATGCGGCAGATAAAACACAAAATCCATTAAGTACGGCAGCTGGTTCCTATCCCTTTCTGGCTGCAGCGCATCCATCAACACGAGCAGCTGCTGCAGCTGCGGCCTATCCATTCGCTGCCTCCCAACTGGATCCCAATTCGCAGCTGTATCAGCAATATCTGCGCCGCGATGATTTCCATGCACGCATGATCTTTAATCAGAGTCTGCTAGGTGGCCCGGCTGCTGCGGCCGCTGCGGCAGGCTACGGTCAGCCGCCGCCGCCTCCAGCTGGCTATCGTCCCTCTGCACTGGGCACCAAGCCATATGATATTAGGCAATCATGGTTTTAGCAGTACGCCAGTGCCGCCAATGTGGATCTGCAGGGCGATGACCTGAATGCGGCAACAGCAACGGCGGCGGCGGCAGCACCAGCGGGAATCGGGGGAGGCGTGCCAGCAGCAGCGGGCGTAGCGGCAGTATCAGCCGCAGCAGCAGCAACAGCAACGCCTGCAAATACACAACGCTAAGTGCGTTTGGTTTCAAAGAAAAGTTTTCAACGTGTGCTAAAAACTGGACGAAATGCATATATATATATAAGTATATATAATACTATATATATATTTCTTTATAATTTTATATATTTTCTATATATTGTTTCATATATGGCTAAATTGCTGACTCGAATTCTAGTCTGTTAGAAATCCCGCTGACTGTTTTAATTGTTCATATGTTTCGACTGAATGTTTCTGTGTGTGTGCGTGTGTATGTGTATGTATGTGTGCGTGTGCTTCTCAAGCTCCACCTCCCAACGCTCCTCATCCTGACTCAACCGCCTCCATAATCGCCTTTTCCACATTTGTGCAATGTTCTAAACTAAATTCTAAACAGCGCCCAGATTTTAGCACAGCGTTCGCAACTACAATTTTAGCTGCCTTGTTTCACGACTAAACCTAATTTTTTTGTTAATGACAAACAGATATATGTAATTGTTTATAAAGTTAAAGAAGAAAAAGCAGAAACAAATAGTTGAAGCAAAATCGATGAATGCGAAAGATTCTAAGAATTGTTTCAATTGCTTCCGACTATTGTAAGCCTTTAGTTTGCAGAATTTAATTAAGCGTATCGATTGTAAATTAGCTATTATTATTATTATTATTATTACATTACTATTACTATTACTATTACTATAATTAGTTTATTATATGAACGTGCAGCGGGTAAATTTGTTGAAATATTTATTAACATCTATCTAGAAAAGCGAAGATAGAAATGCAAAAACAAAACTGTTTGCAGCAACAATTTATTTTTAATTATATTCTAAGCGAAGCAAGTTGTATAAACTTTTGTTAAATATATGCTAAGTAAACAGTACGGTCTAAACTTAAATCCAAAAAATAAAAAGAATAATACACACAACACACACACACACTCACACACACACACAACATACATACATACGTACTCATTGCATGCGCAACATTCCGCCATGATACAAAAAATTCTTTTAGCCCAAAACCATCTATGCTGTACATACAAAAACAACAACCACAAAATGAAGTTAATACTGTTACGTTTTTCACATACACACATCTCAGATTGTAGCTTTAAACGCTGTATAAAAAACAAGCAAAATTCAAAATAATTTCAAAAGCAAATGCAAAATCAACTGCAAATGCAAAAGCAAATGCAAATTTATGAAAAGTAAATGAAAAAAGTGTCTTAGTCGCTATTAACATAAAATTATAAATCAAGCAGAAACGCATCAAAAAAAAAAAAAAACAAAATAAATTGTAAAATACAATTTACAGAGAGCCCTTAATTATTTATATATATATATAAATATATATATATATATTATATATTATATATATATATATAAATATATATATAATATATATATATATATATATATATATTATATTATATATATATATATAAAACACAAATACAATAAATCTAAAATTAATTAAGTTGTTAACGCTTATGTTTTGCAAAGGTAAATTTTTAAATTTTATAAAACCTAATTATGATAAATAGTTGATAAATATTAAAAGAAAAAAAATAAAACAAAAATGGGTACCTAGAGCATAAAGAGCAGCAACAAATAACATATTTAAAGAACCACAAGCTAAATATATTATATTATTAGCAATTATATATATTATATATATATATATATATATATATATATATATATATATAAATATATATGTATGTATCTACTTACATGCATAGACATATATACATATATATATATATATATATATATATATATATATTAGAAGCTACAGCGTGCCGCATGCACAGTAAATACAATCTATATATATATATACGAAATATATATATAAATATGTAGCTATATATACATAAATAAAAAAAAAAACAAATTAAATAACAATAAAGAATTATATTGCATATTGTACAAAATCGTTTGCATTAATTTGAAAGTGTTGAGTATATATACGTGCACAGATTTCCGAGGGAGGCTTAAAAGCTTGCGCACTTAACTTGCATGTAGAAGTTATAGAAGTATACAGAAGTAGTAGCATTTTAGTAATATGATCCCAATGAAATTGTCTGATCATGAATATACTGTGACATCGTTTGAAATGGGTTTCAATGGGAGCAAGCGCTGGCAGCCAATATATTACATTATAATTGCTTTAATCTAGATACCAAACTTAGTGTCTCTAGCTTAAATAGTTTTTAAATTATTCTTCAAGATCTAAGCCAAAATATAAATTTCATACAGATCCTTAAGAGTATCGAAGAATATATATTGGGTGTTTTTATTGGCGTGACACTAGCTTAAATTATCATAAGGCAAATAAGTATATTTTTAATAACAGTAAAACTAACCTTATTGGATAGAAATTGTTATGACAATAATATATGAGGATCATTCATAGAGTAAGCCACGCCTACTGCCTGAGACATATCTTGGCAGCAACGCATACTCTTGGATAGACTATCCTCAATGGGTCTACGAATGCTAAATAATTACTTAATTTAGTATATTTTTTGTTGCTAATTGCAGCTTTAATTAAACTACCCTCGATTGTACATTTATATATATATATATTTTATATATATATATATATATATTATTTATAGATACAGTCACAATTGAGCGTCTCCAATTATTTAACAATTTTGCAGCGCACGCGTTCATTTGCATACAATTGCAGCGGCTGGCTACCACCTTGATCATATTGGCGGCCAGCGTATACCTTTGCACTCTTGAGCTGAGCCCCTCGATGCCGCTCGATCTACCTGCTACACCTCTTGCACTTCCCCTTAATATCAGAATGAAGCTCGTGGCAGATCTGTTGGTCGCTAAGACGCTTTGCAACAAGGCCATTTGTTATATTTAAACTGTTTCCATTAACACTGCAGATACACCAGTTAGACGTACTAACTATATATAAATTATGACATAGTTGTGCTGCTACTATTACTATTACTATTACTACAGCTACTAGTATACAGTATGCATAGTTAGCACATAGCGACTCGTTGTAGTTGCTGCGAAGAAGGTTGAAAAACGAAAGACTTAGGCAACGAACTTGGGAAATGTATGTATACATCTGGTATTCCAGACTGAACAGGGTTACGAGAGTTCAGCTCTATTAAATAGCCGTAGTAGATAGCTCAATAATCTAGAGAAGCTGTTTTGGCATTCCATATTAAAGCTGCTTAACCTATTATATACCCTATAAATGATAGAAACAAGGGAAAAACTATCAATCAATATCTAATTTATGAGTGTATGATCTATGCAGTTCTCGCTAGATCTGGATTAATGCAATCTGTGCCAGTTCTCGTTTAGCTGCAATCTGTGTTCTGATTGATCTGTATAAATGCCATCAAATTCGTTTAATTCAAAGAATGCGTTTCAGCTTCTTGATAACGTCTTTATCTTATAAGAAGAGGATATACATATATGAAGAACAAAAACTAAAAAATTATTTCATATAAACACTTCACCATTTCGCAGCTTATTTTCGAAACGGGTTTTTGTTATAAAATATTTAATGCAGATTAAAATAAGGCCACGCAGATAAAGCGGGTATCCCTTTGTCGATCCCTATAACTTCTTAGGTTAATACAATTTTGTTGATCTGCTTATAGAATTCAACTTGTGCTTCTTCTTGTTTATATAACATATATAATATAACTATATTACGATCTTGCTGCTAATTGCATGAGATTAAAACTTAATTAAAATACGGATTTCCCACAATTTGTAAAGCTTTTCAAGCCAAAAACAGCCGATTGGCCATGCTACATATAGAAAACGATTATTTTTATTAAATGCACTCATTAAAATGGGCGAAAGGGTATGCTGGAATGTGGAGTATTTATTTAACAGACAGTAGGAAGTAACTTTGTCTGTTTATAGAGGTATACTTATTATAGGAAAGCATTAAATTTTATCGAGCATAACTCTAAGATAACTGAGGCCAGTGAAATACAATTAAATATCCATACAGGTATAAATATAAAAAACAGTTAACAAATACCATTGTTTTTTTATTGTCTACTTACCCTCATTCCGGAGTATATTTTAGTCTTTCCCCACCGTCAGTCAGTTCCAATTCTTAACGCTATTTAAGCCTATGAATCATGGGTAATCCACATTAAGAAGACTTGATTGACGCACTGTACCATTGATTAATGATCGAAATGCCAGTCGAAAACTACGTTCCAAGTAGTTGTTGTTGCTCGCATTTTATCCGGTTGAAAGGTTGAACAGGTATGGGTTTAAAAATATATCAATTATTGTGCATGTTAATTAGTTTATTCACCGCCCATTTGTTTGAACATTATCGTGAACACAGCCCAAAATATAAAAATACAACCAAAACAAAAAAAAAATGCTGCCGGTTCACAGCAAAAAATGCAGCCAAACGAGCTGCAAATAAAATATATTTTATATATACTAAATACAAAATAAAGAAAAATCAAAATATATAAAAATTTGAATTAAGTATTTTGCATAAATTTTTTTTATCTTGTGCTCAAATGCCGGCTATTACCTAACACTGACAATTCGATTTGATATAAGAATTTTAACAAAATGCTAATTGATGCTAACAAATAACGTTTTTAGCAACAGATTCATATTTTACCCTGAAGCAATGCTGTGATGCAAGGGGCGTGGCACTCGAAGGGTGAGCGCACGACAGTCATGCAGCAGGAAAATTTTCACGCGACGCGTGAAAAGCATTTGAAAATAGCCTTCCGGCAATCGTGCGGCAACATGATACAAGCTATATGCATATATATCTAGATATATATTAAGATATATATATTTATTCATTAACTATATAAAACTATTGTGCGTGACCAAAAAGGTCAGACAATTTATGTATATTTATTTGTGAATGTTCAATTATGTTCATAATAAATATTTAA